TCTATAAGAAATGCAAAAAACAAACACCACGCCCTGAACCCACTGTCTCGTATATTCCTTCAATTTTGTTTGCCTTAATAGTCATTATCACTGCAGTTAGTGCATGCGATGATCTACATATGAGAAACAATATCGAATTGATATGTGACGACCTAAACAACTGCACTCTCATCAAGAGTGAAGAACTCCCCTTCAACCCGCTCCAAACATCCTTTTGTTCAGTAATTAAGTTCAGAAACTCGACTATAGGAAAATTACAGCTCAATGTTTTATCTAATACATTTACATGTAAAAAGATAACCCAAGGATTCACCAGGATCACAAATCTTACGATCCATTCCATAGCCAGATGCATTGGTACTGGAGATTGCCCTTTGGGAACAGGATGCGACGACATTCGCCAAAATACCTTCGTCAAAGATTTGATCCAAACTTATGACACTCCCGGTCATACATATTGCACAAGAGCAGGAGGAGGAATATTCAACAGCTGTGGACTCCCAATCGAAGGATGCCTCTTATTCCGTCCAACCTATGTACCGGAAACTACGACAGTATATGAGGAAGTGAAATGCGCCGCTTGGACCCAGGAAATCAACATCCACATGAGAATGGAATACTACAACAACACTCATGAATATGAGTTTTCGCTTCAACCGTATAGAAAATACGAAATACATGGAATCACGCTGCAGATATCGTCTATATCAACACAGGTTTTACCAGAACTGCTTAATCAAGTATTTTTAGTGTCAAAATCCAACAGCTTAATGGTTCCGGAAAACAAAAAGCCGGCCATCATATGTAATAGCCAACAGACAGCAGCACTAGACTTCAAAAACTGCCATATAAGGAAACCCTGCGTCTGTCTGGCCGCCGCAGCCCAGCTCTCTTGCAACTGTGACTCAGCTACAAGAAGAGAGCTAGAGAGATTCAAATTACCAAAAAATGCACCTAATTACGATGTTTTAGAAAGATCAAACAAGATCAAAGTCATCTCGTTTATGGAAGAAACGACAGTAACTTTGGAAAATCCTAACTATAGCATTGAGAATCTATACACCAATAGACATCCATGCTTCTCGGACTTTCAGGTTATGAATGGTTGCTACAACTGCAGAGATGGAGTTGAGCTCAACATGACATGCGACACTAAGGATGAGTTATATGCCATTCTTAATTGCGAGAGTTTCAGCAAACCAGTTATATGTTCCGACAAGAATCCCACCACAACGATCAGATTCTTCCACAATTTACCAACCTTTGAAGAAAACTGCACACTCACTTGCGGCAAAGCACCGAAACAACAGATTAGGCTAAGTGCTAGATTACATTACATATTCGACACTCCTATGCTTTCAGAACCAGACATCAATCAACACAATGGAACATCAGGAATCGCTTGGGACTGGCCAAACATGGGACCGATGATGGATATTCTATTCGCCAACTGGAAATGGATCGTGCCAACCGTAGCCGCCGTAGCAGCCGTGATCTACTTTGCCGGAACATCTGCCGCCTTCTTACTACCAACACTTGGACCAGCCATAATGGCCTTATGCTGTTTGAAACGTGCCAACAGCATCCCCCCGCCCGCAGTATCAGGAAATGCCTGATTTCCATTACAAGTAACCCTCCTTAACC